TTTAGTGTTTACTGATGTGGAAAACTTCACTCTGCATGTAAACTGTACTATAAATCCACTTGTCATCTTATTCTCCATCATTAAACTATTGAATTAACTTGAATATGTTGACACAGTTAACTCTATTATCAATGTTTTCATTTCATTATAATGAACTATAGATTAAATTTGTTTTATGATCTTTCTAAATCACCTTTCAAAGCAATTTTTTAGATCAAATTAGAAATATACTGCACCATTAGAGTAAGCTGTTTTGTTTCAGGCAGTGAACTACAAAACCACTTAAAACTATGTCAAAAGTGATATACAACTGCCATTGGAAAACCACTGAGATTTTATAGGTGTCTTTTGACCCCAGTAGTAACTTGTGAGCTGTCTTAATAAGTTCCCAGATGAAGTTCTTCTGCAATTTATATGATCATACATCATCCATGATTGAAGCTGTATATAACCATTTGCTTCAGGAGCCATACTTGTACACTTAGAACCTTATAGTCCGGGAAGCCAAAACAGGCTTCCTTCATTTGTGAAATCTGAATTATTATGTAGGAGGCTTTCTCCTGCCTATTTCTTGTCACACTTATTATAGGACATGACATAGTGTCAAATAGCCAAATAGTTCTAAAATAAAGGATTTATATACACTACTGTACATTTTTTAAAGTCAGCAATACCTCAAAGTCCCAAAGATGAAGCTGACTTCTTTCTGTTCTTTTTCCCTTGCTTTTTAGAAAACCTGGACAATTTCATGCAAACATAGACATTAAGAAGGTACTATTAAGGATTCAGAAGTCAGAAACTACAAAAGTATTGTAATGCTGCTCCTGGTGTATGTACTAAAATAGGGACTTTAAATCAAAGATAGTCTATTTCACACAACTTTGAAAAAAATCTCTTGCAGGTCAATGAAAATCTTGTTTCAAAATATCCAGTCTCTTTCCATCAGTCCTCTGATAATCATTCTTTTCTTGCCCCCCTTCAGCAAGCTCACATATGCATCTATAGCACTTCATACACTAGTCGGTGTAACCCAGAGACACAGTCTATAGGAAACAAATATATGGAATGTACAGGTTGGACCTCTCTAGTCCAGCACCCTCGGGACCTGACAGATCCCGAATGAAAGGATTTGCCAGATCATGGGAGGTCCCTGTCCTCATGGCCCATGCTTAACACTGCCCCCAGCTAGGGCTCCAGTCCAGCCTCGCTACTGCCTGGCCCAGAGCTCCCAGGGTGCTGCTAGGGCTGGAGCTGTGTGACAGGGGCCAGATCTCCCTGGCCACTGCCAGCCCCTGCTACTGCCCAGCCACTGGGACCATATCTCCTTGCTGCTCTGTACCCCACCCCCTGACATGGGACTCCCAGCTGTGTCACTGGCCCCCCATTGTGCTCCCACCCCACAGCCAGACTCCCTATACCTGGGCTCTGTGGTTCAGAGAGTCACTGTTAAGGGAGGTAAAATCTTTAAAACATATTGTAAGTGAGAAGAGTCAGAAAATTACTGAAAGGGTTTTTTTACAGAAATTAGCTCAAATGAATTCATAGATTATGTGTCTGAGCCTTTTTAGTCACTTTCTTCAGGACTTAATAAACACAATCTTTTATTTACAAAAATGTGAGTGGCCAGAAAAAAATACGAATCGCTTTACAAACATGTATAATGTTATGGATGGTATATGCATATGTACAAGAAGGAGAGACTATAATTAAAATCAGCATACCTTGATCTCTCGCTTTGCGTAGCATTTTGCTTTGTTCTGCAACCTTAGCATTGCCTATGCCTTTTTCTCCTCCCCCCCTCAACCCCGTTTCTCTCTTAATAGGGAGTTTTAGTTTAAATGTGAAAGTTATTCACATCTTCCTAGGGTGCTTACACCTTCAGCAACACAATCTTCAGAAAGCAACGGACTGTATAAATCTTATGATCCAGAAACAATTGGGAGAGGATATTTGAGAGCATGTGTAAAAAATGAAACTATAATAAAACATTTCAGCAATGTCAGTCTAAAGTGAAGTTCTATGAAAAAAGAGGTCTATCTACAGAGATAAGACTATGTGACAGATGGCCTCATATCAAACCTCCCTTAAACAAGAGTCACTGTCAGAAGATGGGAAATACCTGAAGTAGCACAGGTACATAATATTTTATCATATTAATTGCATTAAAATATATTGTACAACATTTAGGGAACAGAATAAGCTTTTATCGCTATCCCAATGTATAGCAATACACACACATTTTTAAAAATGCATTTCTTCTGCCATTTTAGTACATTTATTTGCCTTGTGCTGTCACAAACCCTTTGCAACCTGGATCATTCCACTGCTTTAGCCCAGTACAAGAATTAAATTATGATAAAATGTCTCCATAAAACTTGCTCTATTAAAGGATTTGCTTTCAGTTGGCACAGTTTCCTAAGAGGTCGCTGATGGGAGCAGAAGGGGCATGACCCATGTGACCAGATACGGATTATCTAAAATACCATTGACGCATAGCATCAAAGGTACTCCATCAGGACTATGGAATATACTCAGTCTATGCTGCTGAAGCTGTTCCAGCTGTGTATGATCAAATATGTGTTGGCACAAGGACAGCATAAGAATGACTTTAAAATCAGGACACTCACTTGAGAGATGGAAAACTTATGTTCATTCTCCCTCTCAGCATTTGGTAAATATGGGAAATTAATTAGAGAAATCCACAACCCAGATGACATAGGATAACCACTAGTCTAAAGGTCAGGGATGCGGTAGGCTCTGCTTCCTTCTGATGCACCATTGCTGTGCAAGAAACAGCTTCGGAGAGGATTCCTGGATGTGGATCCCAGACAGATGTAGATGCCTCCCCCACCAACACATCCATCTGTGAGAAGTGTATGACTTATGGCTCATCTCTCAGCAACATCTGCTATTGGCTAGGTCAGGCAGCTATGTACCAAAGCACTGGAATTTGTGGTGATGGGTAATTTCAACTATCCAGATATCTGTCAGGAAAGTAACACAGCAGGGCACAGATTATCCAACATTTTTGTTTATTATTTCAGAAGGTGGAGAAAGCTACTGAGGGGAGACTGTTCTAGATTTGATTTTAACAAACAGGGAGGAACTAGTTGAGAATTTGAAAGTGGAAGGCACCTTGGGTGAAAATGGTCACAAAATGATAGCATTCATTATTCTAAGGAATGGGAGGAGTGAGAACAGCAAAATAAAGACAATGGATTTTAAGAAGGCAGAGTTTAGTACAATCATGGAGTTGGTAGGTAAGGTCCCATGAGAAATGAGTCTACAGGGAAAAACAAAGACACTTGGTATCTTTTAAAAGGGACATTAATAACAGCACAAGAGAAAACTATTCCACTACATAGAAAAGATAGGAATGACAAGAGACCAGTATGACAAGTATGATAAGTATGACAAGAGACCAGCTGGTTTAACCAGGAGATTTGGAATGATTTCAAAATCCCACAGCTCCCCTTGGCTGGAAACAACAAACCATAGCCAATGGGAGTTGCAAGGCTCTGTGGCTACCGACACGTTCCAAGCAGCAGCTTAGTCTGGTGGCCTCATGACCCAAGCTGTCCTAAAATACTCAAGGAGCTTATTGATGATCTATCTGAGGGTATGTCTACATTACCACCCTAGTTCGAACTAGGGTGGTTAATGTAGGCAACCGGAGTTGCAAATGAAGCCCGGGATTCGAATTTCCCGGGCTTCATTTGCATATTGCCGGGCGCCGCCATTTTTAAATGTCCGCTAGGATGAGGAGTAACGGTAGTGCGGAATAGGAAGCCTAATCTGAACTACCTAGTTCGTGCCGCGTGTAGCCGCGGGCATGGAGTCTGAACTAGCGGACATTTAAAAATGGCGGCGCCTGGCAATATGCAAATGAAGCCCGGGATTCGAATTTCCCGGGCTTCATTTGCAACTCTGGTTGCTTACATTAACCGCCCTAGTTCAAACTAGGGGGGCAGTGTAGACATACCCTGAGCTATTAGCTATCATCTCTGAAAACCATGGTAAATGGGAGAGATTCTTGAAGACTCTAAGGGGAAATGCAGTGCTTACCTACAAAAAGGGAAATAAGGACAATGCAGGAAACTACAGACCGGTCAGCTTAACTTCTGTGCCAGGAAAGATAATGTAGCAAATAATTAAGGAATCCATTTGCAAACATCTGGAAGATAACAAGATGATAAGTAACTGTCAGCATTGATTTTTAAAGAATAAATCATATCAAACCAACTTGATAGCTTTCTTTGCTATGATAACAAGCCTTGTGGAAAAGGGAGAAGTGGTAACGTGATATATCTAGACTTTAGTAAAGCATTTGGTACAGTCTCTCATGACATTCTTATCAATAAACTAGGGAAATACAACCTGGACAGGGCTACTATAAGGTGAATACAAAACTGTTTAGATAACCATGTGAGTGAAGAGTTATCTATGGCTCATAGTAATAGAGATGTAGCCGTGTTAGTCTGGTCTTGCTGAAACAAAAGACAGGACTATGCAGCACTTTAAAGACTAACAGGATGGTTTATTAGGTGATGAACTTTCATGGGCCAGACCCACTTCCTCAGATCTAACTGGTCTGAGGTAATTAGGATGAAATTCAATAAAGACAGATACAAAATACTTCACATAGGAAGGAACAATCAATGGGCTCGTCTACATTGGCCCCTTTTCCGGAAGGGGCATGGTAATTTTTGAAATCGCAATAGGGAAATGCGCGGGGGATTTAAATATCCCCCGCGGCATTTAAATAAAAATGTCCGCCGCTTTTTTCCGGCTTTTAGAAAAGCCGGAAAAGAGCTTCTACACTGGCCCCGATCCTCCGGAAAAAAAGCCCTTTTCCGGAGGATCTTATTCCTTACTTTAAAGTGGATGCCTTCACACTGATGGATAACTGTCCATTAGTTTTAAGTGGTTGAGACTACAAGAACAGGAAATCAAATCAGAAAAAAAATAGCATTTCCAAAACAGCAAATTATTTCTCCTTCTCCAATAGAAAGTTTATTTAGCATGGCCTGACTCAGCTGTTAATGTTGCTGTGTTTCTTCTCCAACCCCTGCAAAAAGATTGGCCTCAGAATTTCATCCTTGTTAGTATTCCTTGGGGTGGTTTCCAGTGGGTGTCTGTTGATCCTTGTCTGGTTTCTATCAGTCTGATCAGGGAAGATCTTGGTCCCTTCCTCTAATTAAGTCTGAGGTCTGCTTTGGTCTCTTTGAGCCATATTCTTAGAAGCAGCCCAATACAAGGGTGTTTCCCTTTTATTAGGTCAACTCTTTCTCTGAGTGCTCTGCTTTCATGCTTTATTTCACTCATTGGTTGCAGCTGAAGGTGCCTTTCCCCATGATAGTTGTGGTAGCTGTGTAGGAGTGTAATCAGGCTGCTTGCTTGTGAGCAGGAGAGGCTCCCCTCCCGCTTCAGCCTCTGCACTCTCTTAAGGGAGAACCTTGATCCTGACCTGCACTGAAACAAAAACCAAGGGATATTATTTACCATAGCATATGAAGAAATTTGTCAGGCTTGTCAGAGTGGTGTGCAAAGTGGTTCCACAGTAGCCAGTTTGGTTGGATCTCTGACACTACTAAAAGAGGTAGCACAAATAATGCTAATGAGGTCTGAACCCCTTTGTCTCTTCCCCATTTTTACATTTGTGGATGGTCTTGCATTCCTTCAGTTGTTGCCACATGCATGGAGCTGAAATAGAGAAAAAAAGAGAGAAAGAGGAATTGGGAGCTATGCTAATTGCAGAGAAGTTGATTGGAACTATCAGGGGTACTGGTTATATTGTACTGCCTCTTTAAGGATTTCAAAACGTGTTCCCAACTCTCAGCAATCTCAGGGGTACTCTATGTATATCTAGAGCCACTCCAAAAGCCCACTTAGTCCCAAATTCAGGAAATGCCAAAATTAAGGTTATACAGACCTTGAACTCCCATGTGGACATGCATTCTTCTACAGTCTTTGACTATGTGATCACACACTATTTTATCCAATAGGATTCTTGTTCTCCACTGAAACCTGCCCCCTTCCATCCATGTCCCATCTAGTCTGTCCTTCTGTAAGTCCTTTTTCTCTCCACCATGGTCCTCATCCAGGTCTTCCCCTCCATCCATAGTTCCTTGTAGTCTCAGTCTTCTTGCTCAGCCAATTCCTGCCCCAGCCCCCAAGCTCCCTCTCCCAATCTTGCACTTTGGGGTCCCAGTCCCAGTCTCCTCTCCCCTATCATTCAGTTTGCTTGACCAGATGGTCCTCCAACAGCTGAGCTCCTTGAGTCAGTGTCCATGTATAATAATATACCGATAAATAATGTCAAAAGGATTGCTCAGCAGAATATTCCTCCTAACTTTTATTGTTTTCCATTAATTTCTGACCTATATAGACCAACTTATTCCTCCTCTACTAAAACAACTTCTTCAAGCATGGCCTCCTTTCTGTTACTTTTCATAGTTCGGGATACTTTCTCATCAGTTCTGCCCACCTACCTTCAAATCTCTCCTCTATGCACCAAACCACTGCTTTGTTTCTTCTTGCAAGTCTCTTCATAAAATCTTTCTGGTCTTCTTTTATATTTTATTGACACTAAACTCTGGCAACCTTTCCCTCAACCATGCCCTTCCACTTAATCCTTACCATTTTTTATACTGTGGTCTATTTTTCTTCTACAAAACTTGTAAGTGATTACTATAGCTGCTGCTTGGTTCTTTGCACTGAAATTCTGAAATGGACCTTAAATCAGGTACTCACTGATTTCCTGCCAAGGGAACTTGAGGCTAAATATGTAAGTCATTACTCAGCCAAGATTCTTACTGAGCTGATTAAAATTAGTAATGATTTCAGATTTGGACATTTGAATATAGCTAGAGATCAGGGGACTGTAGGTCAAAACCATAGTACCAAAGGTGGCTTTTGTGACATTGCCCATTGTTGTCATACAATATCAATCTAAAATGTAGCAGCCATGATCATTACCAGTCATCAGTATTATTTCAGTGGGTACAGGAGTAGATTGAATTCACTACCATGAAAGGCAAGACTCAAGTTAATCAGAACAGATTGCATAATGAGAATATTGATCTTCCTCCAGTGAAATAGGCATAACATTGGATAAACAATTGCTCAGGATGTGAGGGGTAGAATAAGGAACTTGTTAAAATATCTGTCTCTTTGAGTGGACACATGGACTTACATAATTTGCTTCTTAAATTTAGCACAGAACCCGTATAAGTGGGCTGTGTGTTGGAACATTCCTTGAAGGCTCTACCTGACCTTGGCCTTCTCATAAGCCAAAAAATAGCAGTGGAAACCCACTCTGTATAGGACTGCAGTGTTCTATAGCTAATGCATGCCAACCTCTGTGAGGGAAAGACTAGTGGTTCCCCCCTGATCTTAAAACCCCCTAAGAACATCCCTGATTTGCCTCATACTGTACTTTCACAGCAAGCTCTAGCGCATGAAGCCCCCATAAGGGTTCACAGTCTTACAATCCATATGATGGACCTTCCATTTTTCTGTTGTGAGGAGGTCCCCAAAGGATCTTTAAAGACATGCACATGGTACCAGCAGCTACCATGTTAGGTCTGAGCCTTTACTGCTTAATTAACACAATATTCTATTTGTGTGGAAAGAGTCTTTAACAATTCATTCTGGCTAAGAAGTGAATAAAAAGGTGGCTGCAACAAAGTTTGTTTCTGGGCATATTTTCTTTTTTTTTTACTTCCAAGTTGCTTGAAATATAGAGAGATTGTATACAGCAAAAAATAAATTCTGTCAGTCAGTCTTTGGAGCTTTTTCCATGATTGAAAGCATAATATAGCCAGTACTAGTCAAGTTATTTCTTGTGAATCAGCTTTATGACAAACTGAGCCCTTTCCCCCCTTCTGTTTATGAATTATTGGTGAAACAATACTGATTTCTGAAAATGTACTACTTATTCAGTGAAAAAGTTTCCACAGAGAAACTGCAGGCTATGAATATCCTCAGACTTTTTATTACAGTAATTCTTTATTTGTTATTTACAAGGCACACCTGGCCACCTAAGATATGGAATTGTTTCTTCTTTTTGGCTGACTGACCATGTAACAAATGACAGCTAACAAATGAACCAAAAATGCTTTTCTTCATATATGAATATGTGTATGTATAACAACCATTCCCCAAAATGTGGGAGAACACCATGCATTAATGAGAATGTTCAGATTTGTGAAAAATAAAGGTCACTAAAATCATGTCAAAAACTTTTGAAGGATACCATTGTAATATTATAATTCTTTGTGTTAGTAATGTGATTGACACACTTCCTTTGCATTGGGTGCTATTGGCATGCAGGTAAAAGATGACAGTTTTCCTCTTTATGCTGGAGTAGGAAAATTCCTTTTACAGTGACAAATAAGGCAGTCGTAACATAAATAGCTGCTAGCTATATTTTGGAAGGTAATGTTTTGTTAGATAGCAATAGCTATGAAGGAACCACTACAAACAAGTTGTTATGTTTTTACAAATCTGCCAGCTATGCTTTTTATGAGATCAGATAGCTCTCAACGGCTATCATAAAAGAAGACTAGCAGTTGTGTGTCTCTGAGGTTCTTTGATGCAGACACTGTAACACTACAAATGTAATGAGGTCTGCAGGAGTCTTTCTGTACAACTAAGCTGTTATGTTTGCTTAATAACTCATCCCATCAACTTTAAACAAACTAAAATTTGCATTGAATAAATACATCTGAGTATGTTTGATTCTTGATCAATTTTTACTATTAATATAATACCAATACTTTCAAGATACTACTATTGTCTTTAACGTCACCAGTATGGAGTACATTTCTTGTTCATTGTTTGTTATTGCCAGTGATAATATTTCTCAGAAAACTTTAATATTGGTTCTATATTTGTATTAATTTTCTTTTTCTCCCCCCCCCCCATTATCACCATGAAAAAATCCAAACAATCTTTAATGAGTCCCCAACATAAAGTCCATTATTGTAATTCAACAATTCACTCTTAGTTCTGGTTCTTCTGCTGCACCCAAAGCTCTTCCTCTGACAATAAGCTCCATCCAAAGCTTCAAGTTTTAGCCCTTTCTGGCTGGTGTTCATCCCTGATTTCCTTCTCCTGACTGAGTCTCCCCTGTTCTTCTCCATTCATTTTATGGCGCTGAAGCCTCATCTTGTGAGGCTTGATCACCACCCAGTTCTTTCAGACTATATTCTTTCATCTTAAGGTATCTCAGTTCTTCATAAAGAATTTTTTGTTCTTTACATGTCTTCCTTAACTGTTTCTTTAACTTTGAATATTTTGAATAGCCTGACTTTATGCTCATTTAATAGATATACATTACCATTCAAGGCACGGTGTCCTGTTAACACTCTAACTATAGTTATGTCACTTCTTGCATCATAAATGTGAAGTACAGCATCATCCTCAAACTAGAATATATTTCATAGAACCTTGATCCTTTTACATTTAGGTCCATATTTCTTCCCATTCCTTTTTAAGTTTTCTCTTTACTAAACTTTTGAAGTCCCGTGTACTCAGATGGATCTATATATAAACCTCCTAATCTTAAGACATATTTGCTGCTTTATCTACAATTTCATTATCAAGTATCCCAACTTACACAGGGATCCATGCTATTACTATATGTATATTTAGTTATAAGAACAATATTTCACCCATGCTTTCTGAGATTCCCATCCTAATCACCTTTATACTCAATTAAGAGTCAGATAGGACAGCAGCTATAGTTGGGCATATATTCCTTATGCATGTCAGTGTCAGCACTATTACCAATTTGGCCATCATAAGAGCCATGAAATTGGAAAGTTTCATATATCTTTTACTTCTAAATTCAGGGACTAAAAAAGGCCTTTCACATTCTACTCATGTTGTCATAATTAGATGCATCAGTATTAATATTAACACCATTTACTATTTATAAACGTACACATTTTGTTGGTCACTTTTGATGGTCTTGATTTTCCTTTTGCTTTACCATATAATTACAAATTCACAACTGAAGACATAACTATTTCCAAATATAGTTTGTTTCCCATTACTAAAGATTTTAATCTCTTCCAGTTCTTCCTTTTGATTCAAGTCTTTTATTCACCTTTTGACCCTATTAACGTGTTGGAGTTTGTGGCATCCAATTACATCTTATCTGCTTAATTACCAACAAATCCTGTTTATTTGTTTAGTACTTTATCTTGTTCAGTACTTTATCTTTTCTATTTCCATTAATCTTAGTTTAAAAGGTTAAATTTAACTATTTCATCATTAAATGAATAGGCATTTCTCTGGTAGCTACCTAATAAATACATCAAACACAATCAGCAGAATTTGAGCTTAGATTATCTTAAATTTTAAGTGTTGATTAAAAGGCTGACCAGAAGACTTGTAATCCATAATCCATAACTGGTTTTATTAGTGTCAGACATAGGATTATCAATGCTTTTTATAAGCACTCCGGTTGTTCCCAGTAATACAATTAAGCATATGCATCTGATCTTTACATATAGTATTGGTGTTATCTATGTGACACTTCCACATTACTTTGTTATCAAACTAAGAATTAGATATGGTTCTAAGAATATAAAATATTGGATTATCTGACTTTTTCTTCCTAGTACTATCATAAATTCTGTTCCTCATGCCTTCTTGTATTTTTATTTCACTTGTTGCAATATTATCAACTTTGCAATTTCCTTTCCTGAAACCAATTTGTACAGTTTATAATTTATTTCTACAAGTATGCTAATAACCCCTCATCAATAATTTTTTTCCATAATTTTGCCCACACACAACATGAAGGATACATGCATTAGGTCTTATGTGTAATTCACTAGGTCTTTCTATTGGTATCATCTTTGCTGGCTTCCATAATTATAATGGATTATAATGGAAAAACCTGAAATAGTTCATTGACGTGCACAACCCATTCCAACTGGAGAGCCTACCTGGTATAATTTAGAAGATGGAGCCTTTCCATATGTAGATCCAGGAACTGCCTCAGACAATATTGCAAGTAAATGCAACTGGGAAATCTATAAGGAAGATGTAATGGGAAGTGATCACTTCTCTGTTCTAATTATTTATCAAGGGCAAAGTAATGATGAAAACATTGAAGGAATCCCTACCTGGAAAAAAACAAAAAACCTGGAGACTTTATCTAATTGTAATTGTATCTAAGGAATTTAATGTTAATGTAACAAAGGGAGTTGTAGCAGAAGCCAAGTAAGCTTTATATAAGATATTGAGTCTCTAAATACTCAGAAATCCAGGGTGGAATGAAGATTGGAAAACATCAACCATTCAAAATAGTCAAAACATTTCAATTTGTTTTCCATTGTTTAACAAAGCACTTAATCATGATTAATTTTAATTGTAATTTTTTTTAGTTAAGTACATAAATACACTGCAAGTAATTGATATCCCTATTAGAAACCAATATTCAGGCTGGGTGTTTTGATGGCTAATTATTGAAAGAGTATTAATTTTTAAAATAATTAATAAGGGTTTTCATAGATCTTTAAAGAGTGTTAGGCTAGGAGGGGTCTTAGACCAACTAGCATGAACACCGGTATAAAATTGCAACCAAATACTTTTATGTTGAGCCCAAGTGATTTCATTTAAGCAGAAGTATTACAGTCCTCCAGAAACCAAACTACTGTATGTCAGAGATAGTCATCAGGACTCAGCAATGGTTCACACAGTGAATATATTAGGTGAGATATGCCAAGTAGGTTATCCAGGCTCCATGCTGCAGAGGAAGTTAAAAAAAACCACATCAGGGTTTTTACCAGTCTGATGTAGGAGAAAATTCCTTATCAAGTCCCAGATCTGGTGATC